TTTTTTTTTTTTTTTTGTCAGATCGGCAAAAAATATTTTTTGGTGTGCTGCAGAATTTTAGTAATTGGTTTATGTGTGCCGTGAGATGAAAAAGGGTGAAAATCACTGATCTAGGAGAAGCGTTTGCCAGTGTAATGGGGTTCCCAGCCTTTTTGGGTATTACTAGTGTTGAAAGGGGACATGATTGTTTAAAGTGTGATTTGTTCTTGCTGTCTGCATATTGCACATGATTTTTTAATTTTAATTTTTAGTGTTTAGACAGGGACTTGAAGTAAATAATTGCTAGCTTTTAGGAAAAGCAATTTGTATACAGATCCTATGAACGTTCTCTAATCAGAGTAAGATTAGAAAAATCGGGGTGAGTGAAATTCATGTGGCCACCAGATTGCTTTGAAACATTATTTTAGAATTTGCTGTGACTGCCCTATCCTCAGGCCCATAATATCTCATCTCAAGAATTTAAAAAATAGAACTTACATATTAAGTTTGGATCAGCCTATCAATTGCAGTATTGTCCATGTTCGAAACCTTGGGGAAAAAAGTCTGTTCGCAGTGCTGTGAAATATGGAGGTGTGGATTACTGAAAAAGCTAGCTCCTGTTTTAATTTTAACTGATTTCCTTCGCAAATTCTGTGTCCACCATAAAAGAACCAGAATTGTGAAGCACACAGATTTGCACATGGGCATGCAGTGGTAAATTCCCGCCGTGTCGTATCACCCGGCAACGCTGTGGTTCGGCTTGGAGTCGACCCTGGTGGAGGCGTGGGGGGGGCTCTGGAGCGAGGCTGGCGTACGAACCCCGTTGGGCTTGGGTGGGCCTCCTCCCTCGCTTACAGGAAGCATGAGGTCACATTTTCTGGCTTTGATTTTGTTGGCATTTGGTTAAGAGAACATTTGGAGTTTGAGAGGATCAGGACTCGGAGGATTGCTTCCCATGAGTTTACTGTACTTGCATAGTTGGGGCAGTAGAACAGTTTTGGCCTGAGTATACCAAAATTCCAACATGACTTCATGAAGCCTTTGTCTCAGAATTTTTGGGTTTGGGAACTTGGTAGATGACCTTGTCAAACTAAAATGGTTGCTACTTTTAAAATTTTCATTTACTGTTTCTAACTTGAAAAAAGAAAACTTTACAGTGTGCAGTATGGTAACTTTAACTTTATTTTTAATAGGGAACTCCTGAATTTGTAGCCGCAACAGACTGCGTGCACTACTTTGAGTGGAGGACCACTGCAGCGTGCAAGAAAGACACATTTAAAGCTAAGAAAGAGGTAACAAGGGCACTTCAAGGTCACACGCTTGGGAAGTACATTCCGGGGCCCTTAAGATTGGAAATACTGGGGTGGAAATCCTTTTTAGTTCTCAGATTCCACTTGAGCAGAGATACCATGTGGTTTAATTGTTAAAATTGTGCCGGGTGGTTCTTATTTTTAGGACAGGGCATTTTGAAATATTGCAGGATGTGATGGAAGTAGAATGACCCACCCACGTGAGGCAGGTTAGTTCTTGGTTTCTGGTGCTGCTCACCTCAGTGACTGAGTGACATGGTTGAGCGGGATTTAGTGTGTTCACTCTGCCTACAGGTGCCATCTCTACGTGGAGCTTTGGGGTGGCTTCTGGACTGTGACTCTGGGCCAGGTGTCCTGAGCCCTCCAGTTCTGTGTCACCTGGACGACCGTCTTCATGGGCCGGCTGTTTTCACTTCTTGCCATCAGTTGTCTGTTCTGGAGGATTGAATTCAAAGCCGTAGGAGCTAGGAACTGACAGATGGGGGTCAGTTTCACTGATGGCTTAATATAGTATCATTTAAGAAGGGCAAAGAGAGATATGGTAGTTTTTACAAAGTAAAACCAAGTGAAATTATGAATAATAAGTGATCACAGGTTTTTCAGATACGGCAGCCCTAAAGACGGCAGCCTGAAATGGGAGTGGAAGAGGCAGCTTGCTGGGGAAGGAGCAGGAGGGATGCTCACTGCGAAAGGTTTAAAGTGTGGAAAGGAGTAAGGCCAAAGAAAGGTCGCCGGTGTTCAGGCGATGGTGTCAGATTTACACTTTAAATTTTAAACCGGAGGGTAAACTGTTAGGCCAACATATTGTTAGTGGCAGTAAGAGCCTCCCAGAGCTGCAGGGGTGGCCTCCCGCTCTTCCCGGGGACCTCAACCTCTCCAGGCCCGTGCATGTTCCTGTGGTGTCCCCCGACGCCCCAACCTGACAGCGAGGCCGTTCTCCTGCTTCGGCAGAGCGTCCTCTTGCCTTGCGTTCCCTAACCGACAGTTTTGTCTCCCACCACTGAGGGGAAAAAAGCGGCTTTCCAAATGAAATAAATAAAGAAATAGCGGTTTGTTTTCTCCGTGACCTGTGTTGTAGGTCAGAAGTCACAGACCGCAGCCCCGGGGCCAGATCCTGCCCCGGTGTGTGTTTGTGCAGCCCCAGAGCAAAGAATGGCCTTTACGTTTTTATAGGATTGTAAAAAGACAAAGAAGAATACACGGCAGAGACCTACGTGACTCGTGAGGCCCAAAGTATTTACTCGGCGGCCCTTTATAGGAGAAGGGCGCCCTGCTCGAAACTGTTCTTCGGGACTGCGGGGGGAGGTGCAGCTATGTTTTTTCTCAAAACAGTGACATTCAGTTTCTCTTAGAAGCTGATCTAAAGATGCACCCAGAATGTTGCCGTTTGTTCTCTGATCACCTCCAGGTCTGCTTGGCAGCTGGGGCTGATTCATTCAGTGCGTTCCTCGAGGGCCTGTCGTGGGCGGTTCACTACGTTTTGAAAGGCTTCTTGCTCTCAGATATGGAGCGCACAGCCCTGCTCACGGCCTGAGCTTCCTTCTGCCTCGGGTGCGGGTACGTTAGACGGGCAGGACCGAAGAGCACGTGGCCGCTGGAGCAGCCCTGCTGCCCCCTCAGCAGATCACAGCGAAGCACCCGTGCTCTTCTCTGTCCTCAGTGCGATTGGGTTACACCTTACCGGCTGTGGTGTAACTTCAAAAAGGATTGTGCTGCTTTGTCAGGCCTGGGACCTGCAACAGGCTCAAGTCATGGCAGCTCTAGACGGCGCCTTTTAAAACGCCCGCTCTGGTGCCTGCTCGGTGGACTCTGGGAGGGTCCATTTAGAGAATACTTTCTGTACAGCATCACGGCCGGCCCCCACCACAGCACGCAGGGGAACACAGGAAATTGAGAACTTAGCAGAGCTACACAAATACGGTTAACATAGAGCGTTAACAAGGTGGACTCAGTTTGGAGCGTGGCGCTGGCAGCCACCTCCCCCCAACCCGGCTGCTGCCTCCTGCGCTCATGAATGTCTCCTTTGCTCTGCTCCTGGAGCAGGAAGTGGGAGGCCTCCCTTCCCCGGAGCCCAGGCTGTTTTCCGACGTGCACTCCAGCTCTGTGGGCGCAGGGCTGGGTGTGTCTGCAGTTCCTTCCTGGACGGGAGGCCAGGGGTGGCTGGCTGCCTGGAGCGGGAGTCTGAGTGCCCGGCTCGCTGGAGGCCCTCGAGCCCCCTGCGGGCTTGAGCTAGTTCAGAACTGCGAGCTCTTTCACATGTGGCCCCCGTCTTTCTTCCCCTCCCGCCGTGGGCCGGCTGCTCCCTGCTCTTTCACAGGCTTTCATTTTGTAGCTGGAGAGGTGCCTTGTCTTCCATCCCAGCCTGTCCCCTCCAGCTCCTGTCCAGTTTGTGTTTCTGTGTTATCTTGCTGGGAATGACACGCTTGAGATGGGCAGGATTATGAACGCTGTGACTATCACTGGGACCCAGTGGCAGTCTGCAGGAACACCTTTAATTCAGATAATTTTTTTAAAGCATGTGGACGTGGCTTTCTGTGGGATGTAGCCTGAGGCTTGGTGTCTGGCTCCCTGTGAGTCACGCTCTCCCTGTAGCAGATGTGCCAGCCTCTTCGGTTGTCAGCGGGATCTCTGGTCAGCATTACGGGCCGGGGGAGACTTTGCTCAGGGATCTGGTTGGAGTGAGTTCACATGTCCCCTGAGGCTGTGAGGAGGTGCCAGTTGTTGATTTAATCCATTAGCTCTCCATGAAATTTTGGAAAACAGGACTGGGGGAAAAGGGTTAGTGGGTCAGAGCACTCCTGCAGCTTTCGAATTTCTAAGAAAAATTCAAAAGCTAAATATTAAGCAGTTACCCTTTGTGAATAGATCACATGAATAGCATTATAGTAAAAAAAAAAGTTTTAGGAAAATTATGTAAAGGACATGAAACAAACGACTTGGAAATGATTGCAGAGAACATGAGTTTTTAGAATATTTCTTTGCACAGGTGATTAAAATGATGCCAGTGTATTATTTTGGAAATAACACTTTCAGGGGTGTCTCAGATAGAGACGTAGCAGGAGGTGGTGGTATCTAGGTGACCGGGGCCTTTTTCAGTTTTGGGCACAACTCTGGGCTTGATCTCTGCTTTGCTTTCAGAAATAGGTGGGACTGTCAGAGCACAGGATCTAGTCGACTGTAATGGGTTCCCTGACATTTTAAAAATAAGAGGCCATTAGTTCATAGAGATGAGAGTGGTCATAAGTGAGAATCCAGTGAGGATGGGTTAGGTGCCGGGAGGAGTAATTTGCCTTCATCGGTAATGAACAGATGTTAGGCTGGAGGCATTGTCCTGAGCCTTTCTTAGGGCTACAGCAGAGACTGAGCCCTGTCCTCGGCGCACCACTCCTGTGGGAGGAAGCTGATGGGAGGTAATGAAGTGAGTAGACCCAGGATTTGGTTGGAAGGCAGGCTGACAGGGCTGGGAAGTGTGGGTCTAGGATGACCTTAAGGTTGTGGCCTGAGCAACTGGCTGAATAACTGCACCATGCTGACACTGGGGGAAGAGCAGGTTTTGGGGGAGACATTTAAAATATGTTCAATTTGAGATGCTTTTGTGTATCTAAATGACCATGGTAAATAACAATAACAAATAACACTTGTATCAACTGTACCAAGAGCTTTACATAGATTAACCTGTCCAGTCCTCACAGCAGCCCTGTGAGGAAACCAGGACCCTCTGGGGGGCCAGGCAGCAACGTGAAGGAAGGGTTTGGGGCCATAAGGGAGGATCGGTGGCATCAAACCCCACTGTGAAGGGGCTGGCGTGGGTGAGAGGAGGTGACGATGGAAGCCCAGGCCCGGGCAGGCAAGGGGGAGGTGCTGGTCAGCCTCTGCTTTGTCAGGGGCATCATTCCGACAGACCCTGAGAGGTGGAGACCAGTGTTACACGACATTGGTCACAGGCTTTGCCGAGCCCCTGGCCCCAAGGAGGTGTGTATTGAAGACTGACTTTCCTCTCCCCTCTCCTAGGTGCCGTGCTATGCATTTGATGGAGAGTTCAAGAAGCACGACTTAAATCCACTGATCAAGATCAGCGGGGCTTACTTGGTGGATGACTCCGACCTAGACACATCTCTGTTCATCAACGTTTGTAGAGACATAGGTGTGGATCATGGTGGGCGTGGGCTGGTGAGGGATTGCGTAGAAGGCTTCCACATCTTTGCCCTTCCACCTGTTCACCTACTAGGATAGCCATGTCGCTGTGGGGGCCCCTAAGGAAGCTTTTGTCCCCACAGATGTTCTCTGTGTACAGCCTCCCCTCGGCCCCCAGGAAATTCTGATTCCATTGTAAATTCCCTCCAAACTATTGGTCTATCCCAGTGCATTCTGTCTGCCAGACACTTTGGGTTTCAAGATTCTCAAGTAAATCTTACCTCCAGTGACATGGGGGAGAATGGATTGATTTGGTGTGTGGGGTGCTGAGGACGGCTGGAGCAGAATGGAGTTGGGGGGGCTGGGGAAGCCAGGTGTGTTTAGCCTGCCGTGTGTACCTGAGCCCCTTGGCTTTGAGCTGCAGGCTGGGTAAAAGGGAGAGAGATGTCCAGAGTTCTTGGGCACTTGGTCATGACACATGTTTTGTTTTGGGATCACTTCTTGCCGGGATTTCTCTGAAGGTGCCAGAACTGGTGTGAGAAACTTGGGTGTTGTTGCTAAATTAACTGAAGGCTGTAATAGCCTTTATCTAGAAAGGACCATAAGAAGTTGTACAAGCCCATGCTTGTTCTGTCTACAATGTCTAACCTAGCTTGATGTGTCCTTTCAAGGGCTGTGAGTCGCTAGTCCTGTGCTAGCAGCCACTGAGCCATGAGCAAACTTTGCTGGTAATTAGTAAAAAAATCATTCTTCTCTGTTCTCCTTACATTCTTATTTCTCACATGGTATGTAGGCCTTTGGCCTTAGAAAAGTTTAGAAAAGAAATTTACAATAAAGTCAACCCATGAGAGTATTGCTGGGTAGTAGGTACAGGAGTGTTCGTGTACAAGTGTCCTTCAAACTGTGAGTATACCTACGGACCACTTTCCTATTATTTCTAAATAGTTCCAAAAAGTGAACGCACCGCACATGTAATTGACCAGGAGTGGCCCGGCGGTCACGTTTGTCGCTCGTGTCCTTTTGTGCTCCAAGGACAGCTTCTGCTGTTCCCTTGGGAAAAAGTAGACGGAGTCTTTGTCTTAAATGGGTCTGTGGCTCAAATTTGATTGTAAAATTAAAGAGTCTTGTAGATTATTGAATTCTGAAATAATAGGCTATTTTAGTTTAGAAAACACTTAGGTTCCGGGTCTTTTTTTTTTTTTTAATCATTTTGAGGATTATTTAAATTCACTGGATTTATTCTTAACAGTTTTTTTCTTTCCAATTTACTGGCAATTTGAGTTGAATTTCAGTGACTTTGATTCACACGGGAAGTGCCCCAGTCTTTACCCAGACATTCTCCAGTCCCAGGAAATTGCTCCGAGCCTCATCTGTGTTTGGTTCTGGCTGGGTGGTTCCACTGGTTGGAGCATTGTCCTGTACACCAAAAGGTTGTGGGTTTGATTCCCAGTAACGAAATTTCAGAATACAGGCTTGAGACCTAAGGGTTCCCTGTCCTTTTTAGCATCTGGTGAGTCCTCACAGTAAACTGGAGAAGATGTGGTGACCCTCCCCCTGTGGTTGATAAAGCTTTAATTCAAGCTCAGGCTGGGTGATGTTTACTCACGGGGGAACTGACTTTTGAGCCCCTGTAGTGTGCGAGGCCCTAATTTAGGCGCCGAATTACAGTGTTGACCACGGGAAAGTCCTGCTCTCCTCAGGCTTAAGCGGAAGGAGATGCATAAAAACATCAGCCCCGTGCTGGGCAAGGCGTCGGGTGTGTTAGGCCGTGGTCACAACCCTGCTGCGCTGGGGGAGGCACAGCTGTGGTAATCCCAGCCTTGCGGACAACTGCTTGTGAAGTCTGGGCGTTGTTCTAGGCACATTTAGTAGGTTATCTTCCTTCATTCTCCCGGGCAGTGAGAGTTGTGTCGTTAGACCAAAGTTGTAGCAGAAGTAAGTGGTGAATCTAAGATTTGAACCCAGAACCATCTGTGGGTTCTTTCTCGAATCTACCCATTTTTGTGCAAATCCACGGAGTACCTGAATTTTCTAGTCTGTTTATAAATGGAAAGGGGGTGATGCTGAACTTAGGGCCTCTCTAGGGGGAGGGGCACATTCCTGAACCTCAGGAACTTAATAGCCCCGTTGGTTGGGCGCCTCTTACCAGGTGCAGGGCAAGCCTTTTGCATTCCTTCTCCCCACGCTTGCCCGAAGCCCTACACGTGGGGGCGGGGTGCTGCTCACAGTTCTTAGCATCCAGGCCGGCGGGTCACTGGCTGTCCAAGGTCTCAGAATGGAATGTGGTCCTAGCTCTTTTTGTTTCCAAACCTCTACCTTATGTTACTTATGGAGACTTTAAAAAACTTGAGCATTTTTTAAAGGGACCCTGGGCCTGAGGTTAAGTGTGATTACCACTCCTGACGCACAATCAACGTCCTGTGTGATGTTTTACAGATTCCCTACGGGACTTGAGTCCGCAGCTGCACGCCTGTCCCCTGGGCACTGCCGCCTGCCTGGTGAGAGGGGCCCAGGCCTTCGACGTTGGCCAGCCCAAGGAGGGACTGAAGTTAGTGAGCAAGGACAGGTCAGTGTGTGGTGGGTGTGTGTCATCCTCAGCAGGGTCCCTGCTTTTTAGCTTGCTGCAGGATAATACTTGCAGAAAGACAGCTTCACACATGCTTGCAAAGTCGCTAGTCATTGCTGTGAGTCACCTGAGTGGGCCGGCTGACTTCTAGTCACCGTCTCTCAGAGCTATGGGAACGTGTTAGGATCCAGCTGTACACAATCGTTTCACCTGACAGCCGCCCGAAGGTGTGTCCTGACATTGGCCATGGCAGGTCGCCCGCCAAGTTCATTCCCTGTCCATACTTATCTGTTCTTCATGGACACCATCCTGGAGGGAGGGAGGCAGGAAGGGCAGTTTGCTGGCTCCCTTCCAGGGCGCTGAGCCTGCTTCCTGATGGGGCCTCAGGGCCCCGAGTTCCGGGCCGGGGGCTTCATTCCTCACGATAAGAAGTGCCGGTGACTCACACGCTTCTCCTGCCTTTGTGCCTGACTTGGCAGAGAGATACTTTTCTCCCGTGGCCCACACGTGACCACGGCCTGACCTGCGGTCAAGAATTTTGATTGTCTCTCATGGCAAAGCCTTTGAGGGACGCCTGGTGGGTGGCTCTGGTCTGGAGGTAGTGGCACATCAGCGCTGCGATTAGATCGCCCACAGAAAATGCTGGAGCATACCTGAAATTTGAAATGTTTGGGAGGTTTCTATATGGTTATCTGTACTTGCCGGGGCTGCCGTTAATGAAGCACCAGGGATTGGGCGGCTGCAATGACAGATATTTATTTGCTCTGTCTTGGAGGCCAGAGTCCAAGGTGTGGTGTCAGCAGGGTGGTTTTTCTTTCTGAGGCCTCTCCGTGGCTTCTCGATGGCAGCTTCTCCCTGTGTCCTCACGTGGTCTTCCTTTGTGCACGTGTGTGTCCTAATCTCCTTTTCTTATAAGGTTACCAGTAAGATCCGAGTGACCCTGATGACCTCATCTGTACTTAATCACCTCTTTAAAGACCTTATCACCAAATACTGTCACATGCTGAGGTGCTGGAGTTAGGGCCTCAACGTGAACTGGGGGCAACGGATGGGCGGGGAAGACATCATTCAGCCCATAATGTTGTCCTAAGTAACAAATGGGGGATTCTTTGTCCTGGGAGGACTGTGTAAAGCGTGGGCATTGCACGAAGGCCCCGAGCTTGTCTTCAGAGAAAAGGCAGGCCGTGTGTTTGTGGAGCGCCGGGGTTGCCGGCACACCCCATGGTGAGACCCGCACATCCTCCGGGGGCTCTGGGCCCTTCCCGCTGCGGCTGTGGGCGGCCAGGTCGGCCGGCACGCTCCGCTGCCTTCAGGTTACAGAGAAGATCTTGGCCTGCACTTTGAGGTTGTTTAGAGAGAAAGCGGTCGTGCAGTCTGTGGCAGAAATGTGCTTGACCTGCTCAGCTGTGTTTGTTTTGTTTTCTTAAGAGTATAATGTTTTTTGTTTTACTCAAGCAGCTTTTCTTAGTTTTTAAATTTACATGTTGATTGTTTATTTTTTTTAAAGGAAATAGCATTTAATTGGAGTTTACTTTTAAATGTGTTTTTCTTTTTCCCAAATGGAAATGAATTAAAGTGTTGTACTATGTGTGGCTTCTTTTACATTTTAATCTTTCTTCTGTTACTGTCCTTGCAAGTGAATGCTCAGGGCTCCGGATTAATTTGAATGCAGTTGATACTTTGTAACACTGCTCTCTCTGTGCGACACCCAGGCTGGTCCTGACTTACGTGAAAGAAGAGGCAGGGAAGCCAGACTTCTGTGATGGCCACAGCCCGGCCGTGACCATTACCTTTGTCTGCCCGTCCGAGCGCCGGGAGGTGAGTGGCTTCTCTTGGTGATTTCCCGGCAGCGCACGGTAGCTGGGGCTGCCTGTGAGCGTGAGCGGGGCCTGCGGCAGGGTGGTGGGTCTGGGTGCAGGGCCTCAGCTCCAGAGCTGGCGGGAAGGTGTGCTCCCTGGATGGCCTCGGCTGGGGGCTGAGCTGGTGAGGCTCCCGGGAGAACAGCTGCTGTTTGCTTTTTCTCAGCCACCTGGAGGGGCCTCTGGATGTGAACGTAGGATGGTGTTTTGTTCTAGTGTTGTGGGAGATGATTTTAAGTGGTTCATGGACAGATTTTCAAAATTCTCCTAGCTACGCTGATTTGAATGGATATTTGAAAAACCATCCGTACAACCCCAAACCCATGATTTCATGGCTGCTGTTGTTTCAGCATGAAGCAAGGTAAAAATAGCTAGTGAGTTTATAGAAATGTGGTAAGGAAAGAGAAGTACAGATGGTAGGCAGACCTCGCAGAAATCCTGCAGGCCAGCGACCAACGTTTGGGGTCCCGGTGTGGGAGAATTACGGCCAGAGGAAGGCTCCCGCGCCACAGTGGAGCGTTTCACCCCCACCCTGCCCGCCTCCCCCTCCTGAGCTGCCAGCAGCTTGATTGCTCTGTCCTCTGGCTGTTTACGCAATTCAGCGCAGCTGTAAACTCCGTGAGGGTAGGGACGGTCTGGGTTGTCCTTGGCCAGTGCCCAGTGGTGTTGCATGCACGTGTGGTGGGGAAGTGTTTTAGCAGATGTGGGTGCTGATGGAAGGGAGACATCCCCGGGGAGGAAGGGTAGGGCTTTCCTCTAATTTATTTCTGTCTTCTCCTCATAGGATGAACTAGGAGGAGTGGAATTCTTTTGCTAGGGAGCCATACTTCCCTCCCCCCAAATAAACGTGGAATGTGCTGTGGTTTCGGGCTGGCTGCTGGCCCACTTTGTTCACTGGGGTATGGGGACAAAAGTTTAGTCCCGACGAGCTTTCCATTTTATGTCCCCAGGCTCCCGGGGCCCGAGGGGGCAGCTTACTGAGGACCTGACTGCCTGACCAGGGCCGACGTTCGTTCCGCGTGTGATTTATCCTTTCCGTTTGTGCCCACACGTGGGAATGGAACTCTTTTCAGGCTGATGAGACGGTCTCAGCTGGCTGTGGTTTCACGGTTTCCCCTTCTCATTTGTTCTACACTCAGGATTGTTTTATACTTTTATACACTCAGAGTGGAGAGGACTGGGAGCCTCCCCGCTTTCTCTTCCCTGGGATCCGAGGCACTCAGTGGCGTTAGCAGAGGAGCTAGTTTGCTGCTGGCGAAGGGAAGGGTTCGTTTCCAGTTTAACTGTTCACTGGGTGGAACTTGGGTTACACGTGATACCCTAATACTTGAAGGTTTATTTAAGCATTTGTCCAGGCTCACTGGATACTTTTAGGAGCTGGGATTTTAGTAAACATTTTCCTTGTCATGTAGGTCTTTTTAAAGTTTTATTGAATTTACAAAGTGCAAAGTTCGCCTGCTTTAAGTACAATTGACTGGTTATTAGTATATTCACAGAATTGTGCAACCGGGGCCACCGTCTGATGTTTGAACCTTCCCATCACCCCCAAAAAGAACCTTGGGCAGTCCCTCCCTCCCCACCCTGCCCCACCCCCGGCAAGGGCGAGTCTGTGGACTTGCCTTTCCTGGACATCGCGTATGCGTGAGCCGTACACGGTGTGGCCTTTGTGTCCGACTTCTCTTGCGTGGTGCTCGGCAGCCTGTCCCCATACGTTTGGCTTTCCTGAGCCGAGTGGTTCAAGCTCCGATTTTGAGTCAGACAGACGGAGCCGGACTCGCAGCTTCACAGCTTATTTATCACATGACCTGTGTTAGCAACCCCCGCACTGAGGACTTGTGCCTGGCACGTAGCAGGCGCTGGGTAAACATTTGCAGAGTGGCGGTGCTGAGAAGCAGCACAGCTCTGCCTGGTGCTGAAGAGCGCCGTGCATTTCTCCAACAATTAAAGACGACGACGCTGCCCACCAGGGAGCCGTGACCTTGCAGCATCAGTCTCTTCACATCAGGGCTCGGTTAGAGCTCAGTGTCGGAGCTCATGTTTGTAAAGCAGGGCTCTCCCAGAACCCAGTGTGGTGGGTGCTTCCCCGGGGGCGGGAGCAGATGACAGGAGAGGTGTGCCCAGTACCCTTCGACAATCTTAGGAGAGGGGTTTAGGACCATCTTTCCAGATGTTCACGTGCACAGCGATTCCCACTCTGCTTGGGGGTCCTCTGGCTCGGGCTCTGCAGCACTTCTGATGGAAAGGCACGGCCTGCACCCCCTTCCCCTCCCGAGCCTCGGCTGCTTGCCAAGGTCACGGGTGTCAGGTGACGCTGAGTTCAGGGTGGGCTCCCGGGCTGAAGTTCGAGAGTGGCTCTGAAAGGGCCCTGAACCGTTGCAAGTAACTGGAGTTGTGGCAAGTCAAACAAATGAAAAAATGTTACTGGCAATTGTGATTCAAAAACAGGGACAGAAAAGTGTAAATACCCAACAACTTCCTCTCGAGGTTTCAGAAGCGCCGAGAACCTGCATCCAAGCTCATTTCAAAATTTAATTTTGCACCTTTCACCCCGTTTCTGCTAGGGCACCATTCCCAAGCTCACGGCTAAATCCAACTGCCGCTACGAGGTCGAGTGGGTTACTGAGTATGCCTGCCACAGGGACTACCTGGAGAGCAGCAACTGCTCTCTGAGCAGCGAACAGCACGACATCGCCATCAACCTCCAGCCACTCCGGCAGGGCCCAGGTGAGGTGCCGCAGAGGCTGAGTTAACCCTTCAGGCGGCGCCCCCGGGGCAGGCGTTGCGGACGCAGACCCAGGTCGTGTGAAGCAGTGTTGTAACTTTCTAACGCCGTGGATGTGACGAAGCCTCCTCTCGTTTGTTCATTTTCTTTAGGTCATTACTACACTGCAGATGGAAAGGAATATATTTTTTATTTGAATATCTGTGGAGAAATTGAATCAACCCCAAATGTCTGTAATGGGAAACAGGCTGCGGTTTGCCAAAGGAAAAAGACTGATTTCACTCAAGTCAAAGTGGCAGGAAAATTCCAGAGCCAGACTCTTCGGTGCGTAAACAGCCTTCCCGTGCTTTCTGAGCGCATTGTGCCTGTTCTCGTAAAACACACCCGGCTTCCCTGTCGTCCTCTGTTCCCCGTAAGCACAGAAGTCGGCTGAGACAGCATTCCTCCGACCTCACTTAGGCATGGTGCCTTTTGTCACTAAACAGTGGGATGTTTTTCCTGGCTTGACAATAAGACCGCCGCTGTTAAATCTGTTTGCTTTATGACCCATTGTTCGGGAGGAACCGTACTGTAGGAAAGTTATTTAATTAGTTTACAGTCGATGCCCCTTTTGTGTTTTAAAATTTATCTTTCCCAGCTTTCAACGTTCTCTGGCACTTGGAGAATCTGAAATGCCATTAGTGTAACTTTTAAAAGTTTTAATCAACTAAGAAAATGTATTCAGTGCATTTCTCACGACCCTTGACTTCGTGGCTGTGGTCACAAAAGCGTTAGGAGAGTGTCGGCCTCTGAGAATAAGCATTGTGCAGGGCCCCTCAGGTAAGACCGTGTTTATGGCAGTTGCTGCACAAGCTGTGTGCTTCTCGGCCATTATTTATTTTGTACAAAAGCCAAGAAGGCGAGCAGAGGAGTGTTCCTGCTCACAGCAAAACCTTCGCCGCGCGCTCGCAGCCGTTACGACTTTGAAGTCAAGGGCGCGATGAGCCTGTGCGTGTGGAACTCGTTTCCTTTAGACGTCTCCCCGCCGGCGAGAGCGTGCTGCTCTGTGTCAGCACCGATTTGTCGGTGGTATGCAGAGGGCTTCACGGAGAAATGTTTAAAAATTCAAGTTTCTCTCTTGGTTCTGCTAAACGTGCGTGTGTGTGTGTGTGTTATAAACACCTAGGTACTCAGATGGAGACCTCACCTTGATCTATTCTGGAGGCGATGAGTGCAGCTCCGGCTTTCAGCGGATGAGTGTCATAAACTTCGAGTGCAATGAGACTGCGGGTGAGTGTGCCTGGGGTTTTTATCTGAGCTCTGACGGGCCCTGGTGTCCTTGGAAGGGAATGCTGAATGGGGCAGTCAAATGTCCTTCTTCGGGTGTGGCCACCTCCAGTCCCCAGCCGAGGCAGGAGTGCCCAGCCAACGGCACACATCCTGTTTCCACTTTCCTCCCCTCTCTGATTGTTTTGGGAGAGGGCCCAGCACGGGGCCTGCTGGGACGGAGGTTCTGTCTTGAGCTCTGGCTCTCACCAGAGCATGTACGGAGCCAGCGAGGTGGGTCTGCTCACTGCCTTCGAATGGGCTGTCATTGCACCACTTTTTTTTTGCAAACTAATTTACAAGGTGACCCTTTAAGATGGTGGCCTGGGGTAGCGGCTGGCTTTTGGGATCACATGAGATCACAGGGGCAAGTTTGGTTTTTCCGAGCTATTAGGGGAAGCTTCCTTGAAGTCATGACGGCCTTGGCGTTGCAGAGAGCTCTCTGTATCTTGGGATCCTGGACCCGGTCTCCATCTGCAGAGGGGTGATGGGATCTGTCATCATCGGGAAGCTGTGACCCCAAGCGTCCTGCAGGTCCACTCAGCCTCTGCACAGAGCTCTGGAGCTGGCTGGGCCCCACGTCTGTAGAGCAGCACAGGCATGCATGGCCGCCCTGCCCCCTGGGTCTTCCTGGCCCCGCATGCTGATTGTTTGGTGTGTTTCTGTGGCAGAGCTTCGACCATTTGGTCCCAGGCAGGTTTTGTCATGGTTCACTGCAGGGCCTGGGAGAGGCAGCTGTGTGATGGGAACTGGGCTCCAGAAGCCGTGTCTGGGGGGGTGAAGGAGGTCGGAAGAGGTTGTGATTAAGACCAAACTCTCATAAACTGCCCTCAAAAAGGGCCCTCAAAGAGGGAGCCTAGTGCAGCAGATGGGGAGGCCTGGGCCCCAATGCCCCTGCCCTCCTGCTCGCCTCTGCCCATGGGTCTGCTGCTCCCTTGTTGCCCAGCAGCCCTCCTCACTCCCTGTGCTCTCTGGGCTTACTTTGGAGTCTGTTGGCCGGCCCTTTATAACTTTCATGTTCTCAGTTCAGTCATTCAACACACATTTTATTAGTACCTATTTGCATGGGCCCTGTGAGACTGACTGATGCCACGATGAGAGAGCTCTCGAGGCCTTTACAGACCAGAAGCCGAGAAACAAGGGAACCTGTGACTAGTGCAGGGTGATTGGGGCTGCCCAGAGCTAAGGCTGTCGCCCAGGATGTCACCAGGAGGGAGGCACTGAGGTCAGTGATTCGGGGTCTGGGTAGCCACGGGATCCAGGCAGTTAAGGAAAGAGGAGGCTCTTTGTAAAAATATATATGTGTTTTTATTGATTAGAGAGAAAGGGAGCCTACAGGAGGAGGAGTGAGCCAGGCGCGGAAGCAGGGTGGCTGTGGGCACCTGTCGTTGTGGCAGAGGGGACGGCTCGTGCCAAGGCATGAATGTGGGTGGCTGTGAACAGCTCCAGGATATGTATTTAGAATGTGGCTAAAGATGACCCTAGAAAGGAGAGTGGAGCAACCTTGGGAAAAGCTCCTGTGTCCTGTAAAGGAGTTGACAGTGTCTAGAAACGAGTGTGAAGTCCCAGGGACTTTGGGCAGGCAGCTGACTTGGGTGTGGCCTTTGGATGCATCTCCCATCTGGTTCGAATGCCCTCCTGCCCTCCTCAGATTCTCTGTCTCTCTTCTAATGTCCCCCCCCTTCCAGGTTTTAGGAGACCCTCTCAAGAACACCCCTGCTCCTCTGTGTCCCTGTCCCTGGGAAACGCAGCCCGCTGCTTATCTGTGCTCCCAGATTTTCAGGCACTCGGCCGCCTGCCCCTTCCCCAGCCGGGCCCCCCTGAACTCCCCCGCTGGCCCGCTGCTCTGCTGTGGGTGCCTCCTGTGGTCCAAGTCTCCCTCCCTTGTCATTACCTCTTGGCCTGTTCTGGACTTTTTGTAAACGACTTGGCCGAGATCTTTGGGAGTGCGCTGATCTCATCTGGGCACGCTGGGAACATGGAGTAATGATCCAAACAGATCCCAGCGGACGGGGCGGGTGTGGAGAAGGGCACACAGCCGGGGACGCTCAGGGAAGTGTGGCCGTCCAGTGCAGACGAGCTGAGGCGTGGAAAAAAGACTGCAGGCCTTCCCCCTCCTCTGTTACTTTTTATTAAAAATTTTCAAACATGCCCGTAGAAAGAACATCACAATGAAAATTTATATCCTGGCCACTCAGATTTAATGGTCATTCGTGTTTTGCCAAATTTGCTTCATATAAACCATACATCACTGATGGGATATAACACTCCATCCCAGCTTCGTCCTGACAAAATTAACACTGCTGCCCAATGCCAGAAACTCGGTGTTTAGCTGGCGGTTTGCATTATGATGGTGACAAGGGGGCCGGATGGAGAGATGTTAGGCGTTTCTTGGGGGTTTTGAGCCTGCTCTCAGGCCGGACTTTGGTTATAAAATATTTAAGGCTCTTTTCACCTCTGCGAGTCAGTGCTTCAAACTTTGGAGCAAGCTTGTATATGCTGTAAAATTATTCATGATTACTTCGTCCAGATTTAAATTGAGAGTTTTGACAGGCAGTCCTTTGGTGGGTTCTGTGTTTTTGGGGTGAATGTAATCGTGTGTTTTTGCATGCGAATGGGTATTAATTGGCTGTGTAGTGTGTGGTTTACAGTTTAACTTGGATCTCCAGGAATTATTTATGCTTATGAATCATGTACAGTGTTTGTAAATTTAGTCTTGTAGCTGTAATACACTTTTAACCATTTGTCTCAATAACTTACGTCTAGTTTGTTGTAATGCGATGCCTTATTGTCAAGTGAGGGCATCAGGTCACTCGGGAAGAGCGATTTGTTAGGATAGGCGAGGAAGAAACCTACGAAGTTATGGGGCTCATTACATTAAAGGTTTATTTTTTAGTTCCATGTACACTCCTGTGGGGGCTGGAGGCGGGGGCTCTGCCCTAGGTGGTCACTCAGGGACCCGCTTGCTTTCCCTCTGTGCTGCTGCCGTCTGTGGACGTTGCCTCCAACTCTGCAGAATGGAAGCAGCGGTTCTTTTTAATAGGCCAGAGCTAAGTGGCAGGGGCCAACCTCCAAGGCAGGGAGGCTGGGAGATGTAGCTTTGCTGTGAGCCCGAGGGAAAATTAAACCCCATTTGGTGAGTAGGTAGCACTGTCTTTGCCACAGAGGGATGGAAGAGTGGGTGCTGCCGTCACTCGGTGCCTTAATTCCACTGGGAAAATCCACTTTTCCTTCAGCTGGTCATGGGATCCACACACTGGGGAGCCATGTAAGTGACGTGCTGGGAATGGGCCGCAGAGGCAGGGGAGCCAGGACCGTGTGATGGACAGAGATGGTGAAAAGCCAGTATTAACCCTGCTGATGGGTGGAAACCACTGGCCCCGGGATAGTGGTCCTGAAGGCAAAGCCCACTGCGTTTCCAACAAACAAACGTGGTTGGGTAGAGGGGAGGGTCAGCTTACTAGTCTCCTAAAATTACTTGAGGAGTTAAATAGGAGGACAGGTAAGATGCACCCCACCGGTTATGAGATTGACTCTCTCCACAGATCATTAGCCAGTTTCAGATGCAAAACCTGCTTGCAGTGGGGGTGGGTGCCGGAAACCTCGTAGTCGTATACGAGTAATCGTTTGTCAGCTAATCTGGTGAAAGACACACATGGCGGATGCCTCAGGTTTGTGGATCCCAGTAGGAGTCTGCTGCCTGTGAAGCGTGTGGGTGGGAGACGTGGCAAGCGAGCCTCACGCGCCTTCAGCAGTGAAGGGTGCGGCGGTCCCAGCTCGCGGGTGGGTGCTGTGTTGTCAGGAAGGAAGTTGGGAGCACTGCTTCTTAAAGAGAATGGCTTAAACTACTTAAAAAAAAAAAGAAAGAAAGAAATAACCCACAGTAGTATAAGGAAGTATTGCCTTGTACTTACGAGCCTGGTTCTGGGGCCAGACCGTCTGGATTTGATTCCTGGCTCCTCTCTTTCTAGCTATGAAACTATAGGCAAATTATTTAGCCGCCCTAAATCTACTAAATGGGGCTAAAATTGTGCCTGTGCCATAGGACTTTTAGGATTAAATATGCCAGTTTTTATGAAGTGCTTAAATCAGAGCCTGTTTCCACAGCCAACCTCTATGTAGCACTAAGATGCTTTCCTGGTGCCTGGCTCAGATTGTGTGCAGTTACAGGGCAGCTGCTGGTATTATAATTATGGTGTTTGTAATATTAAATGCTTAATAGAAACTGCAATGGAAACATCATTTGCCTTTGGTACAAAATACTATTTCTCTTTCCTGGAGGACATTGTGCATTTTGAGGCACCAAACCGCGAGAAAGGCAGGCGATCCTGTAGGATCCAGGGGAGGACTGTTAAACCATTAAGGGGAGGGAAACAGTTTTGTGCCAGCGGTCCGCCAGCTTGGAGAGGCCAGGAGAGAGTATTTCTAGTAAGCAGAAAAGTCAGTGAAGCTCGCTGCATCCCAGGCTCCGTGGACTGGCAGGGGGGGTGAGGGGGTGACCCAGGAGGAGCTGGCTGTCTGAGCAGAGCTGAACTGTCTGGGCTTGCGGTTGGAAACTGTGGGGCTCCCTGGAGGCAGTGGGCCAAGAGACTGCTGATTTGAGCAGGGAGTCAGAGCCACACGCACTCACGAAGCCCCGAGAATGAAGGATGCTGGCGCCATCCGGAGGCGTGCCTGCAGCTTGTGAAGTTGCATGGACCTCAGCTCACTTCAGTTGGGAAGACTGTGGAAACGAGCGTCTTCCACTTTCATTTTCGGGATGAGCCCCAGGGAGCTCGTCTTGCCCGCAATGACATCATTAAGCCAGTGGCACTCCTGGGACCAGAGCTCTGGTCTCTGTCTCCCTTTCAGCGAGCCTCTGGTCTGACCCAGCTGCTGGTGGAGGCTGACCACAGTCCCTGGGCAGCAAGAGCCCTGCCGGGTGGCCCCCATGGTCTGCATTAGCACTCGTTTCATGTTCCCGTCAAGTGAGTTATAAACAGCCTCACGTCCTGTGGAGACCATCTACCAAGATGAAAGGGGCTCAGGCCTGCTTTGAGGGGTTTAGGATTATCTGAAACTCAGCAGCAGTCCCTCTAAATCCGAGCCCTCTGATCCCAGGCGTCTGGGGCCGGAGTTTCACTGTACGTTGGGCGTTGGGGTCCTGTTTGCCGTTTCTTGCCTTGCTCCTTTGATGTTCCCGGGTTTGGTCGCACAATGGAGGGTTTTATTTTTCCTTTCCGAATTGCACAGGTAACGGTGGGAGGGGAGCCCCCGTGTTCACCGAGGAGGTGGACTGCACCTACTTCTTCACCTGGGACACGAAGCACGCGTGCGTGAAGGAGAAGGAGGACCTCCTGTGCGGCCTCACCGACGGGAAGAGGCGATACGACCTGTCCGCTCTGGCCCGGCACGCAGGTAGGCCTCCCGTGCCCGCGTGGGTCTCAGCCGAGACGTTTTCTTGCCTCTTTCCCCATGAATACGTTTGGAAATGCTGTTACTGTTTCTGCTGTCAGCTAACCGCGGCATGGCCTCTCCCGAGGCCCTTTGCTTGGCTGTCCTGCTCTTAGCACGTAGCACATGCGCCCTCTGCTGCTGAGGACGGTGACCTGCTTCTGTTCGTACGTGACGCGCTGAGAACCGTTTGCCTTCAGGGCCCGCGCATGTCCTGTTTGTGTTCGAGACCCTGGGCCCTTGCCCCACGCTTGTGTAGATGACGTGGCGGGTTTCTTGCAGCTGCACAGGCCTCCTCAGTGGTCGGGTGGAAGGTGCGTTCCCCTTGGCCTGGTGCTCTGCCCGGTCCCGAGGCAAGGCTGGCGTCCGGGTTTGGTTTTAGGTTTCTGATTTCATACTTTGGGGCTTGGGAGAATTTCACTGTTTAATTCTCTATGCGCCTCATTACCCCTGCTCTTCTGAGGAGGTGTGGGGCAGTTTAATTCTGTCACATTAACCCAGAAGCCAGAGACTCTCGGGGAGTGCTGGCCCTTAGCCTGCCTGCCCAGAAATGGGAATGCCGAGGGTTGGCGACCACATGCGTGGTGAGCGTTGGGCCTTTCCCTTCCACTTGCTTGTCATTTATGGTGTGACTCACGGAGAAACAATCACTGCCTTTGGCTAAAGAAGCTTGCTTTTTTTTTTTAAACAGAACCAGAGAAGAACTGGGAAGCCGTGGGTGGCAGCCAGAAGGAAACAGAAAAGAAGCATTTCTTCATTAACATTTGTCACAGGCTGCTGCAGGAGGGCAAGGCGAGAGGCTGCCCCGAGGAGGCGGCCGTGTGCTCCGTGGGTGAGTGGTGCCCAGAGCCAGCGGCTGGGCCATTCTCCTGAAGGCGGCGCCCAGTGTGGAGAGAGTCAGAAAGTCTCCCTGTGGTTTAGCTCAGCCTCCTCTCTGCGTTCAGCCATAGGTAGCTGCGAGGTGCAGTCCATGCATGACGGAGAACTGGGGTGGCCTGGAGTTGGCCACAGCCTTCTGACGTAGGCGAATGCCGTGTTAGGGAGCGGGGAGAACCGTGTTGGAAACTCTTGGTTGTCTTTTCACCTTGTAACCTGAAGAATAACATTGCTAGTCCTTGTGTAAAACCGATTTTGATATCTTAACAACTTTACTGCCCAGAGGTTTTCAGAGGTCACGGCGTAAGGCGACTGGAGTCTAATAGCGTACGTAGCCGTCGCCCGAGAGTGCTGTCCCCCAGGTTCCTTCGCTGTGACTGCTGGTCTGCACTCTCCTGCAGAGACGTCTCAGTTTGACATATATGTAGCATGTTAGTTGGAAAAGAGAAAGGCGACAGGCGAGGGAGTAATTCCAATCCGTTACAAACGGGAAATGAGCTGTGCACCCAGGCGGGTTTTAGGAGTTACCCCGCTATTCGGAATGGGGGCCGTGTCCCTCTGCGCAGGTCCAGGCACGTCCATGCCTTTATTTAAGGAAGGACGTCGCACAGAGTTTCAGAACTTTATGGTAAAGAGCAACCAACTGAACTGTGAATTAAGTGGCCACCCTCTTGGCTTGTTGAACAGGTTTAGTTAGTTTCTAGCCCCCCAGCTGGGCTTTTAAAAGACCTGTGTCTGTGTCTCCAGGGAGCTGGGGTCCCAGCCTCGGGGAACAGGGGGGATGGCAGGATGTGTGGGCTTGCTTTCCTGCCTCCTGTGGGCATGGAGGACCTGGTTTATAATTCTCACACTTTCCTGCTAAGCCCGGAGGTGGCCGTGGGATTTTCAACGTGGCTGCCAACACCCGGCCAAACTTGTCACTCAAGAAAAACTCACCAGCCGTCTGGGCCGGGCCAGGGAGGCCGAGAAGGGGCCATGGTGCACCGGCTTGGCCTCGGCTGGGTCTTGGTGCCTCTTCGTCTCACTGTTGTTTTTAAATCATGTCTCCTGTTCCTTCCCCTTTCTCTTTTCCAGATAAGAGTGGAAGGAAGAACCTGGGCAAATTTGTTTCTCCTCCCACAAAGGAGAATGGGAACATCCTGCTCTCCTATTCGGATGGCGAAGCTTGTGGCGACAAGAAGAAAATAAGCACCAACGTGATACTCGTATGCAAGCCAGGTAAACATTTAAAGAGAGAAAAGGAAGGGTGAGGCGCGTCCTTCCCTTGTCTCTTTCTCTGGCCGCTGCCAGGCGATGAAGTCGAAAGGGGATGTGCCGAGCACCGCACGGCCCAGGCCCGTCGGTGGTGCTCAGCTGGACTTGATGCCCCAGCCCTGACGAAAACCAGTCAGGAAACGGAGAAACCATATGGCGTCCTGGGCCTCACGTTGTAAATTTCCTAAAGGGTTACGGTCTGAGTGAGGCCTCCTGTTGTTCAGGACAGTTACACAGCGATCACGCAGCCACTCAGCTCCCTCTGCAGGGGGACGGCGAGCGGCTCGAAAACACTGCCTGCGACCTCACCGTGAGACAGTGCCCTTCTCTCCTGTCCTGTGTGTACAAAGGACCATATCGATGGTCACACATTTTTGTGTTCCTCAAGAGGTTGTACTTTGTGGATACTCTCCCCTGTTTCACAGTTACATTTATGATTCTCAGGGAATTCCCTGTGGACAGTGTTGATCATGGATTGGCTTTACCGTTTTTAAACATTGTTCTTATTGTTGGGTTGGTAGCTGCTGCCAGTGTTTCTAAGCGTGCTATTATGTGTCCTTCCCACCTCCCGTTGAAGAATTTTCCTTTGGGTAAATTCTCAGCTGTGGAATAAGGCCAGTGGCTAGGACTATTTTTTTTTTTCTTTTAAATATGTTTTTTATTGGTTTTAGAGGGAGAGGAAGGGAGAGGGGGAGAGAGAAACATCAGTTGACTGCCTCCTGCATGCCCCCTACCTGGGATCGAGCCTGAAACCCGGGCATGTGCCCTGACCGGGAATCAAACCCATGACCCTTTGGTGCGCGACCAACTGAGCCACCTGGCCAGGGATAGGACTGTTTTGTTTTTTTTTAACATTTAAAAAAATTATGGTGTAATATACAGAATATAAAACTTATATATATATACTTTTAAATATATCTATTGATTTTGGAGAGAGGAAGGGAGGGGAGAGAGAGAGATAGAAACATCAGTGATGAGAAAGTCATTGATCGGCTGCCTCCTGCATGCCCGCCACTGGGGATCGAGCCCGCAACCCCGGCATGTGCCCTGACCGGGAATTTAACTTGATCCCCTGGATCATAGGCCGATGCTCAACCCGGAGCCACGCCTGCTGGGGAAAATTTATATTTTTTTAGACATTGTAGTAAAAATACACATAACATGAAATTCACCATTTTAAGTGGACAGTTCAGTGGTGTTAAGTACATTTACATTGCTGTGCAACAGTCACCACCATCCGTCTCCAGAACTTTACCATTTTCCCCGACTGACACTCGTCCCCACTGCCCCTGCAGCCACCCTTCTTGCCTCCGTAGGTTTGGCACTCTAGGAACCTCGTGTAAGTGGACTCGTACTGTATTTATAGGACAACTTGTAGAATAAGGGAAGGTTTTCCGGGGACGATGGGTGATACTCTTTCCTCCCCGTTGACAGGTGATCTGGAAAGTGCTCCTGTGTTGAGAAGCATCCGGGAGGACGGCTGCTTCTATGAGTTTGAGTGGCACACGGCTGCGGCCTGCGTGCTGTCCAGGACCCAGGGCGACAACTGCACTGTCTTCGACTCCCAGGCAGGTGCGTGTCCGAGCAGCACCCTCGTGGTGCAGTGTCACCTGGGCCTACGTAGGCTTTTAAAAAAATATTTCTTAGGAGTGCTTTAGAGGTAACTTGCTTTAGAATATTAATACCTTTTGAACAAAATCCTAAAAATGCGGATTTTGAGGTTTATTTGAGATCATGAAAAACCTACCTTAAATTCACAGTGGAGGTAGGTTTGCTGAATGGAAAACCCAAGGGTCACAAGGAAATAAATTTCATTGGAAAACGCTTTTTGTGTGACTTGCTGGCCGTCAATCCCACGTCAGGACTTTTTCCGGAGGTCTTTGAGTGGTGCGCATCCCGCTTTGAACATACGGCTGTTTGACCAGCAGTTATGGGCTTTGAGTAGATTGTTTTTTAGGTTAACTGTGTGAAACGGTAGTGACTCATCTCCACGGGACATGGCAAGAACTGTGATTCTGGGGCTTGAAGGGAAAAGCCCCTCATCTGCCTGCTGGTCTCCCTGCCCTTGGGAGTCCCTGGGAAGAGCGTCTCTGCTCGAGGCTTCGAGCTGAGGTCGCTCTTGACTGTGGTTCGGCCGACATCCCATTCTCGGATCGCTTGTACTCTTTCGTAGGGTTTTCTTTTGACTTGACACCTCTCAAGAAGAAAGATGGCTACAAGGTTGAGACAGAGAAGTACGACTTTTACATAAACGTCTGCGCCCCAGTGTCTGTGGGCCCCTGCCAGCCAGGCTCGGGAGCCTGCCAGGTGACAAAGAGGCAAGTCTCCGCATTCGGTTACGCGTTTTCCCGGAGGTGTCTTGGGTAACAGACATTTCATTCAGGAACAGGTGTGATCTCTGCGTTCAGACACTGAGAAAACCTGGCCTGCTAACCAGGGGGTGCTGGGAGTTTAGTTTCCCGGAGGAGTAGCCATGCCCTTGGCAAAGGAGAGTGGGCTTACCCAGGGCCGTAGTTCTGAGTGGCTGGCTCTTCTCGCTGGTTAGATGTGTATTTGTGTACATTTCTTCACTCACTAGTCCAAGTGAAGGGAACTACGCCTTCAGCCAGCTGTGGTTTTGGGCTCTGGAGTGGGGGTGGACTTAGAAATCTCAGCTAGGGAGCGGAGTGGTCTGCAGCCCGGGGTCCCAGCCACAGCTGCCCCCCCCCCCCCC